CGGGTCCACGTCTCCAGTCCCCCGGTCCGCCGCACACCGCCTTTCTCTCGCCCAGGTGCTGCCAGGCGCGCTCGCCCTTCGTCCGGCCCCCGCACCCTGGTGGAAACGCACAGCCTGCCCCCGCCCCGCCCTGCCTCGCCCGGATCATGCAGGGGGCCCCGGAGGAGGAGGGGGCCAGTGACCGGTCTGCGGAGACCTCGTTTAGGGGGCGGGTCCCTCTCTGAGACGCCCCCGCCCGCTGCCATGTGCTACCTCCTTGGGTACCCAGCCTATCTCCAAACTTTCCCGATGCCAGCCCAGCTCTGAGTCGCGGTTCTGAGTGAAGTGTCCCACAGACGGAGGACCCAGGCTGGCTACGGACTATCTGCTTCTCTCGGGATCCTCGGAGGTGAGAGCCCGCGCCTTTCTCTTTCTCCCTATTCTTTTCCCGGTCCCTCAGCCATTTGTCGGGGGAGACTGAGTGCTCTGAGCCTGGGGTACAGCCTGGAAGGCCCAGCGGAAAGGGAGGTGGAGTGGGAGGGAGGCGAGGAGTTGGTAGTTTAGTTTCAGGAGGTGGGAGGGAGGGAGGGAAGGGAGAGAGGTTAACTTAAGAGATTTGGAGTCCGCTTGCGGGGACTGAGCCGTTATCGCCCCTCTAACTGGGAGTGGTTTCCATTTTTCTTCTCCCTACCTTCTTTTCTAAAGAGTACTTTCGCTGGAATCTAGAGCCCTAACCGTCCCTCTCAACCCTATTCGGCGAAGAGCTGGAGAGGCAGCAGAGGCAGCGCCTTTCTGAAACAGTTTATCTTTGGACGGATTTCTTTAAAAGAAAAAGAAACCAACAGGTTGCCAGTTCCGGCGCCACACAAGTCTGCGGAGAGGGAAGCCGCGGTCCCGGTTTCCCCTGCTTGAGCTGGCCCCTTGCGGGCTGCGGCAGGCGAGGGGAGGGAGGGGGCTATGGCTCGGCCTGACCCGTCCGCTCCGCCTTCGCTGTTGCTATTGCTTCTGGCGCAGCTGGCGGGCCGGGCGGCGGCCGCCTCCAAGGCCCCGGTGTGCCAGGAAATCACAGTGCCCATGTGCCGCGGCATCGGCTATAACCTGACGCACATGCCCAACCAGTTCAACCACGACACGCAGGACGAGGCGGGCCTGGAGGTGCACCAGTTCTGGCCGCTGGTGGAGATCCACTGCTCGCCGGACCTGCGCTTCTTCCTGTGCTCCATGTACACGCCCATCTGCCTGCCGGACTACCACAAGCCGCTGCCGCCCTGCCGCTCCGTGTGCGAGCGCGCCAAGGCCGGCTGCTCGCCGCTCATGCGCCAGTACGGCTTCGCCTGGCCGGAACGCATGAGCTGCGACCGCCTCCCAGTGCTGGGCCGCGACGCCGAGGTCCTGTGCATGGATTACAATCGCAGCGAGGCCACCACGGCGCCCCCCAGGCCCTTACCGGCGAAACCCACCCTCCCAGGCCCGCCGGGGCCAGCCTCGGGGGGCGACTGCGCCGCCGGGGGCCCAGCGGTGTGCAAGTGCCGTGAACCCTTCGTGCCCATTCTGAAAGAGTCGCACCCGCTTTACAACAAGGTGCGGACCGGCCAGGTACCCAACTGTGCGGTACCCTGCTACCAGCCGTCCTTCAGCCCCGACGAGCGCACGTTCGCCACCTTCTGGATCGGCCTGTGGTCTGTGCTGTGCTTCATCTCCACTTCCACCACGGTAGCCACCTTCTTAATAGACATGGAACGCTTCCGTTACCCTGAGCGCCCCATCATCTTCTTGTCAGCCTGCTACCTGTGCGTGTCGCTGGGCTTCCTGGTGCGCCTGGTCGTGGGCCATGCCAGCGTCGCCTGCAGCCGCGAGCACAGCCACATCCACTATGAGACAACGGGCCCTGCGCTGTGCACTGTTGTCTTTTTACTGGTCTACTTCTTCGGTATGGCCAGCTCCATCTGGTGGGTCATCCTGTCGCTCACCTGGTTCTTGGCGGCTGGCATGAAGTGGGGCAACGAGGCCATTGCTGGCTATGCGCAGTACTTCCACCTGGCCGCGTGGCTCATTCCCAGTGTCAAGTCCATCACTGCTCTGGCACTGAGCTCCGTGGATGGGGACCCGGTGGCCGGCATCTGCTACGTGGGCAACCAGAACCTGAACTCGCTACGCGGCTTCGTGCTGGCCCCGCTGGTGCTCTACCTGCTGGTGGGCACGCTCTTCCTCCTGGCTGGCTTCGTGTCTCTCTTCCGCATCCGCAGTGTCATCAAGCAGGGTGGCACCAAGACGGACAAGCTGGAGAAGCTCATGATCCGTATTGGCATCTTCACACTACTCTACACGGTGCCCGCCAGCATCGTGGTGGCCTGCTACCTGTACGAACAGCATTATCGCGAGAGTTGGGAGGCTGCGCTCACCTGCGCGTGCCCAGGTCCAGATGCCGGCCAGCCGCGCGCCAAGCCCGAGTACTGGGTTCTCATGCTCAAGTACTTCATGTGCCTCGTGGTGGGCATCACGTCGGGCGTCTGGATTTGGTCCGGCAAGACTGTGGAGTCGTGGCGCCGCTTCACCA